TAACTCAATAGCAATTCTGTTTGTAGCATACAAGAGAAGAACAGGTATGAGTCCATGATAGGCATAATTGAATCAATGATGAGAAAAAAAATTCCACTAAATAAAAATGGGTGAGTTGTTTTTTAGTTTAACTGGTCTTCTTGAATTATGCTAAGATAGGAGGAAATATTACAGTAATGGTTCCTGAATAACTAAGAAAACAATGCAGTCTTATTTTGGATTTCTTTCCAGTGAACAGAATGAATGCAGCCAGTGATGCATAATATAGATTATGATTAACACTTAGTTGAGAATATATCTCTGTACAAAGCCCATAAGCATAAAAACACGGTGTCAGGATTAAGCCAAAGTGAGTTTTAAAAACATTCAACACATGTGCCTACAAACTCTGTTGCAGATTTTATATTTATGGTAGCATTGGTTGAGTTTGGGTTAGGACTTTTCTTTTCCTGTTTAATCCCTCAGATACCACACACTTTAGAAAAAGCTATATACATTCATTTGTTGTTGATTAGAGATATATGAAGCCTGTTCAGTATATCCAAATAAATATTTGGTCACTGACATTCCTATTGGTAGAAAAGCAAAAACATCTGCTGGAGTTATGAGTGGGTTGACATCAGAGTTCAACCAAAGGGGAGCCAGAAATTTATCAGATAGTCCTCAAGTTGCCCTCCTTTATAATAAATGGAAAGCAACGTTTTCATTGTTGACTAATACTTGCTTGGTCCTGATATAAATGGCAAATACTTACATAGTTATACAGTTATATGAAGCCCTGCTTCATGGATATTACATATTCACCTGTTAAGCTATTTCATTATTTCCAGGAAAAATACACACCGCTACTGTTCAACTATATATGAGAAATCCTTTTGAAATGTATGCAGATTTAACATTATTCATAATATTAATAATTATCAGAAACAATATCTGATTTATAGGCTGATTTAACTATAAGAAGCCAATATTATACACATTTTAAAATCATGTAACAATTCACTTGAATCCAAGTAATATTGCCTTATTTCTTGAGCAGAAATAACAAAACACACAGTGGGGCAAATCCATTTTAAGTTGCAGTCCTCTAGCCCAGCGGTCCCTAACCTTTTTGGGGCCACGGACCAGCTGGGGGGAGTGAGCTCCATGTGTGGGGGGGTGGGGGCACCCTCACGTGAGCGCGGTGGGCGTGTCGTACTCGTAGGTGTAGGTGTTGCACTCGCATGCATGAGCATGAGCGTGAGATGCCCACTGCACGTGGTATACGTGGAGATCTTTTGTTTTTCTATGTTCATCCAGCTTGGGGAGGCTGCTTTGACTCTGTAAGTTTTACTATGTGCAGTTCCACAGGGTTAATCATCTCCTCAAAGCTGTTTAACAACTATGTGAGGCCGTTGAGGGAGGTCATCTGGAGATCTGGAGTGCATTGTCATCAATATGCTGATGGCCCCCAGCTCTGTCTTACATTTTCTTTTTCAGCAAGTGATGACAAACCTACGAAATGCTATATGATAGCTATTCTGGAGAGAGATGCAAGCACATCATACATATCCATGGAACTGTATGGTGCTTTTATATCACCTCTATGTCTTTCCACAAATAATATCTTCCTTTTTCTTTTTCAGTTTCCTTTTCTTTTTCAAAATTTTTAATTTCCTTTCTTGTTTCTGTCCTGCCCTTTCTTTTACTCCAGAGCAGAGAATGTTTTGCCTGTTTTGGTAAATCTCCCACAGTCCCTTAACATTGGCCACATTTCCTGTTTGCACTGCCACTTCCATCATGTAATTCAGCCATTCTTAACCTATTTTTGACCACGGTCATGAATGCAATATGAAAGAAATATAAGCCAAATCAGGATTGTATAAGTCACATAACAAACCTTATAAGATGGTGTGTCAAGAATTGCTTCCAGTTTGTAGCCCCCTCAAATATGCCAGGGCCCCCAGGGGCCCATATGTCCCCTATTGAGAATGCCTAATGTAATGGACAATTTAATTTTTAAAGGGACACCAGAGGAGTTTTCTTTTCCCTTCTCCCTCTCTTCTTCCTCTCAGCCAGCCCAAGATCCTCTCTGAGTTTCAGGAGGATCTCTTCTGAAAAACACAGGATGGTTTATTGGAGAACTGCTCAGGAAAGGAAGAAAGGCCACCTCCAGACCCTGGAAGCTCCCATCTTATTTGGTGTGATTCCCTCTTTCCTAGCAGTCCCTGAACCCTAGGGGACTTGGGGAAGAGGTGCATTGTTTGCAGGAGGGAAAAGGAAAAGAGGAAAATTTCCTTCCATGAACATCGGATTTTCTTAAGCAATTATGTTTAAAAGAGGCACTGCTTGTAGATGGCAAGCATGTGGGTCCATCAGCTAAAATATTGATGGCCATAAATCCTTTCCAGGGCTATTTTCCCACTCTTTCAAAATTCTTCATCACAATTAGACCCATCTGCTCCCTTTTAATGCCCTTCCTGGAGGGATCAATCTGCAGATGACTCTGAGAGGCCTGCCTAAAGAAGAGGCAGGGTCTATCCTCTGAAACTTGTCTAATATCCTCTCAAATATCCACCACAACTAGAGGTAAGTTGATATTGAAGCACAAGTATCAATAACGAAAGCTAAACATAATGGATGCTCCATGTGCACTAATAACATTGAAAGTGCATCATCGACTCCTTTATAATGCACTAGGGAGACATTTGATTATATGACAAGAATAATAGGACTGAATATTGATGCATTTGCAAATATTGGCAAAGCAGAGTGAAATATAATACAGTGATGATGGCATACAAGGTAGTAATATAATTTTATAGAAGGCTCACAGCAAATTTACCACAGAGCATCTTTCTCAAGTGATATTTTAAACAGTGAGATACAAAGAACTAATTAACTTTGGCTGTCTAGCACCAGTCTGCTTCTAACAATTTACATTTTGTAAATTCATTAAATTCTAACCAGTTTGAATCACAGCTCTTTAATACTCTTCTGAGGCATTCTAAATATTATGTACAAAAAAACTAGAATTAATAGTCAAAATAATCAGACATGTTTCAAAAAGCAAAATCTCTGTTTCTATTCTTGTACAAGTCACACTTTTAACCCAAATGGCTGCTATTATTATTAGGAAGTGCCATCACCATCATCACAATCAGAGAGTGCTTATCAATGGCTCCTTCTCAAACTAGGCTCAGTCCTGGGCCCAGTGCTCTTCAACAGTTTTATTAATGACTTGGATGAAGGGGCACAAGCAATGCTTTCCAAATTTGTGGATGACACAAAATTGGGTGGAATAGCTAATGCCCTGGAAGACAGAAACAAAATTCAAAAAGATCTTGATAAGCTTGATCACTGGGCTAAAGTTACAGGAAGCAAGATTTTGGTTGACTATAAAGAAAAACTTCCTAACTGTTAGAGTAGTATGACAACGGAACCAATTAGCTTGGGAGTAGGTGAGTGCTCTAATGCTGGAGGTATTCAAAAGAAAATTAGACAACCATTTGTCAGATCTACTTTGACTTGGATTTCTGTGTCAAGCAGGAGGCTATGCTCAGTGACCTTACAGGACCCCCTTTGGACTTCATTATTCTGTGCTTCAATTTAGACACCGTGAGATAATTGCCTCAGGTAACAGATACTAGGAGGCAACAGCAGGCTTTTGGCAGGGCAAGAAATATACTAAGTGAGCCACACTGTTTCTGCTTTTGGTGAACAGGGATGTAAAGAATACTCCCTAAAATCCTCATTCCTATTTTTTATAACTTGCTTTAGCTTCATGAGATACAGTACCTGAATAAGGAATGTAAAAGCCTTGTGAGATTCCTTATTTCCAGGTGAGACAAGGAGATGACTTGTAATTATGCTATGATTCTATGATTATTATTAGAATACATGGGATTCAGGATCTGCTTTATGAAACCTCTGCCTCTTTTTGGGGATCTCCTCTAAATCCTCAGTGTAGCATTTTTGAAAAAGCTCATCCACCAGTCAACCTCAATGAGACCATCTGCTCCTCAGCCAGAAGCAGTACTTCCTGAAGTGACAAAAGTCAACATGTTCTCCTAGCAGTAGTATTTTCATACCTCTGCATTTTGCAAACTAGCTTGCTTGCTTTAGTGATTAGTCATTCATAGGCAAGCACAGGTTTAATTGCCAGCCCAGCTGCTACGTCAGGAAGGTCTGAAGCTACAGAGATTGTTGTAGGGAAAGTAAATTATCAGTTCTGTAATTGTGAAGCTGGTATCTCATTTAAGGCTGTGACAACACAGTGAGGGAAAAACAAATTACAGTAACTTGTCTTCTCTCGCTGCGAAGTCGCATTGGGGCATTTGGTTCTCTCCGATGTAAGTGACCACAGAAGCAGGGGAATCCCACTGGTGGAAAAAGGGCCAGAAGTTTCCATCAGTCCTACCTCTTAACACCCTCTCCCTCGAATACAGTCTCCTCCACACCCTGAAAATCTGTTCCAGGCTGTGAACTGTGGGAGAAAGAACGCTGGAGGGTACAGAGGAAAGGGCAATAATTAGTCAAGGTCAGTTTTCTCAATCTTTTGTCTGGGAAACAGTCTGACTAGAACTCCATTCAAAGGTGGCTCACAGTAGTGTTATAACAGTTGGTTCCAACTTACTGCTTACTTTTTTTTAAAATGTAATTTTCATGTTGTTTCCAAGCTTTCTTGGAAGGACCTCTGTATAAAAATAATTTAGGGGGGAAATTACTATAGTAAATGATAATCTAATGTATTTGTTGTCTGAATATATCTTTTCTTTCATATAAACATCTTATATAAATATAAATACAGTATGGTAAACAAACAAACAAACAAACAAATGAATAGAATAGCATCTAAAGTATATATTGTGCAAATATATGCTTCTTGCTTTATGTCTGACTCAGTTTCTTTCCAACCTCACTGGGAGACTCAATACTATAATATTATGAGAGATGCTGAACATCTTGACTTATTGTCATGCATATCCTTTTTCTTTAGATGCTCCAGCTTATGTTCTTACCTGAAAGTTTCCAAAGCAGCTTCCTCCAGGCAGGGTGACATAACTCACAAAGGGAGGCCCAGGCGAGTTTAGCGACTCATAGACCACCGTGCCTTCACTTGAAAACACACCTTTTTGCTTCTGTTTATTCTCCCAGAATTCCTGAAGCATTGCCACAACATTCACTATGAAAACATGAACAGTGATATTCCGTTAGCCATAGTCCATGGCTCAAGATACTGTACAGCAATAACAGACTTCACAAGGAAGCACAAAGATGATGAATTAAGACTTTGCTTTATGTTTTAACTTCATGCTTATGTTTGCTAGTATACTATTAAAGAGGTATTTCAGGGAAGCAGGCAAGGTTTGAGTATATAATTACTCTATAATTAAATACAGTTATTAAATATTAGACATGGTTCAACAATTTTTATTTATTGCTTACAATGGATAAGAATTAGGTAACCCATTACTTAATTCTACAGGTAATTAGGTAATTCCACAGGTAATTCATTATCTAATTCTGCAGTTATTATTCAATTAATTCCACAATAATTGTTTCAATACCTGAAATATGGCTAGGTCAGAGTGTTAAGATTTTAGCAGAATTTTCTTGAAAATGTCTGTTTCAGGGAACTATAGTTCCCTGATTTCCCTAGCCATCAAAAAAGTTACTTTTCCCATCTTTAGATTTTCCCTGGTCAACCATGTGGAACAGCTCTGGATCTGAGCTGGTCAAGGTGACCGTTTTGCAGATAGCACCCTAACAGAGCCTTAACCCTTCAGTACAACCAAATCCAAACTCTTCCCTCAATCTACCTTCTGTTCAGAAGGAAGAACCTGTTCAGGAGGAGCCCTGCTGCAGGTCTCTATGGAGAGACTCATTCAGAAGCACTGCAAAACTCTGTTAAATAAGACTGTCAAAAACCATGCAATTGCATTGCGCAAAAGGCAGAGCAGGACCTCATTGGCGCGTTCCAGGCTGCCATCACATCCCCTACTGTCTCCCCCCCACACTGTCTATGCATTGGGAGTGTATTTTAAGTGCTGAAGATTACTGGACCCCAATTGGCCCAGAGTTCAAAATCAGGGACGTGGGCTACATCTAGTGGATGGGTTCCCATTGAAACATATCTCCAGTATGAGAATTGTGAGGAACAGAGCTGATAGGGAACATGACAGGGGTGCCATAGAGCTCAGTTTTTTAAATCTCACCTGCATGATTGCTAATTGTGTAAGCAAGAAATGACTCAGTGACTGAAATCCAGTAGTAATTTGAAATTAGAATAAGACCATTGAATTAATGGAACTACTAGACGACTTGACTAATATATATATATATATAAAGTTTGTCATACCCTCTTTCCCTGAAAATAAGACCTAAGTATGATTTTTCAGGATGCTCGTAATATAAGCCGTACCCTCAAAATAAGCCCTAGTTAAGTGAAACCCCACCCTCCACATTGTGCAGCAACCAGAAGATGGCATGACTGTAAAATAAAACATCGCCTAAAAATAAGGCCTAATGCATTTTTTTGGGGGGGGAGTAAAAATTGATATAAGACCTTGTCTCGTTTTTGGGGAAACACAGTATATCAGCAGCAGCCAGAAGCACAGCTGCATTCTTCTGACATTGAGGCAGAGTTCCAAAGTATGGTGAGATAAGATACAGTGGGGTCTTGACTTAAGAACGGCTTGAGTTAAGAACATTTTGACTTAAGAACCACTCTCATAGGAAAATATTGACTTGACTTACATACTTAGATTTGAGTTAAGAACTGAAAAAAAACCACGTGGGAGGCAGGGAAAGTGCAAAATTTGAACTTTCAGTTAACTGTTGGCCAGTGAAAAGGGTGCCTGTCTGCTTCCTCACTCCTCCCAGCGTTTAGAGAGTGGATTGGGAGACAGTCTTCAGACTGCCTGGTACTTGTACTGCCTGGACTGTATTTTCCCTGCCTTCCCTGAACCTTTCTTGACCTAAGAAAAAAAAGAAACAAAATATCCCCCTCTAGTGGTCGAAGGCAAAATAGCAGCTTCCCATTAGTGTCTATGGACGGAAAAGAGCAGATACGGATCAAACGGATTTCAATGCATTCCTATGGGAAATGCAGATTTGACCTGAGAACTTTTTGACTTGAGAACCGCCTTCCAATACGGATTAAGTTCTCAAGTCAAGACCCCACTGTAGTTCATTCTCATCGGTTATTAGTTTATTTTTATGAGCTGAGCTTCAGAGAACCATTCAAGAGCATCTTATCCCACTGCCAAGTGTCATCAAAAGGGGTAAAAATCTAATGCACTTTCAATACATGTCCAATGTATTTTATTCATGTCATATATCCCAAGTAGTGGTTGGCACTCTAAAAATCCCATTTTTATAGCCTGGTTATACTAAAAATCTGCTTTATGTAGAAACCTAGAATGTTAAATGCTGAGTTACTCTCTCATTCAGTGACTTCTATGGATAGTTTAAGTGGAAAACATAATGACTCAGTAAAATAATATGAATAATAAAACCTGGTTTGACCTGCCTTTCAGGAAGGCATGGAGCCCCTATTCCCCAATTAAACCAGAATGAAAATAGAAAACAGATGTTTATCTCAATCTGTGATTGTAGAATTAAGCTTTGACACGAACTGAACAAAGGTGAATAACCAAGCCTTCAATAAGAAGAATGAAAGGGGGGGGAGAAGAGAAAATAAAAGAAAGGTTTTTCTAAATTAAAGTTGCATTCCTCTCTTGAGACCAGCAGAATTTATTAACTGTTTATTTAATGTGCTCTGCTACTTGCTTTTGGGCCTTAGAATTCATCAAAACAATGTAGCTAGCATATGATGGTATGATTGGTGGTCTGTTTGCATTCACATGTACTGAAGATATTCCTTTCTTTTCTCTATGCAGTTATGGCCTGTGGATACTACTATACATATAATGCCCTTGTAAAACAACCTAAATGGCAATCCTATACTTGCTCACTTGGGTGGACACAGTTAGGTCTCACTGAGCTGAGCAGACAGGTACAGGACTACAAAGTGAAACTGCTCAAGTTTTAACTAGGATTCGTGAATCTTGAGGTGTTGGCTGAGGGAAGTCTTGGGGAACAGCGGTCCTTCTCCAGGTGGTCTCCAAGCAGTGTGATGTTTTGGCAGTCTTAATGCAAGAATGTGAGCCTAATCACTTTTATTCTTGACTTCTTTGCACTTTCAGAGCCTGAAAAACCTCTTTTTGTTTGCTTGAATTTTCCCGCTGAAATTTTTCAGAAGAATCACTGTACAGTTTCCTCCCTTGGCTGGACAGAAATCTAGAATTATGCAAAGAGAACCTATCCTTTTTCTATAACAACATTTTAACTTCACCAGTGATATACAACAGGGGTCCCCAAACCTCGGTCTGACAGGACCAAGCCACGGAGACAAATCTCCCGCCCCTCCTGCATGCACAGATGCATGCACTCCCCATGCACACACCCCCACGCACACACAGATGCATGCACACACCCAGCACGCACACATGCACGCATGCACGCCCCCCACTCACACACGTCTTCCCCATGCACACACAGACATACTCTTGCATGCATATATGCATGCACAGACACACACCCTGCCTCCCCCGCACACACGCTAAACCGGTCCACAGTGTCAAAACAGTTGGGGACCACTAATATACAGTATTTCCAAATACAAAATCTAGGTGTGTTTAACTCTCTGCTTCTGTTTTTACCTTGGCATTATGTTCTGCTTCTTGAGCCTTCATTTTATATTATTATTGTTCTATTTTAAATGATTGACTATTTTAAGAGGCTGTAAAATGGCCAGATAATTTTATTGGTGAGATTTGAAATAAGTAGGTCCCTTAGATAAGTAGGATATAGGAAAATAAATATATTTACTTGGAATTCTTGTGGTTTAAATTGTTTATAGGACAATGCTGTGTGTGCCTGCCCAGTCAGGAGTACATTGAATTATATTCAATATGACTTATTTCCAGGTCAGTGGGAATGAGACTGCATTCTGAGGCTGCAATGCTATACCCACTGAACTGAAAACAAATCCCATAGAAATCAATGACACTTCTGAGTAGACATGTGTAGGATTGTGCTGTCACTATCAGCTTTCAACAGATTTAAGGGATGGGGCTAATGTGTTTTTGCAAAACTTGTCCTTGAGTTGTGTATTTGGTACATTCCACTTAATATATAAGTCAAATAAATAAATATTCTTATATAATTTAACATACCTGCCAAAAAGGGAATGTGTGAAGAGACCATAAATGTTTGCAGATTCGGTTGACTCACAAATATGTCCCCAGGTCATAACTGCAGCCATTAAGTGAAGATAGACCCAGGCTAAAATATTTTGCTGCTTAAAGGCTTAGCAGAAAATGTCACAGAATTTTGAATTTCTGGTAAAAATTCCTTTTTGCTACACAGTAGAAGTGCAGAGAATCACAGAGGAGAATAGTTACAAGTCCCCCAGGGACCACCTCTTTCAACCAAATGAACAGACCAACAGCGAACAAACCACTGCTTCCAACTGACTGAAGGGAGGGAAAAGCATTCAGCAGACAGGTGGGGCTCTCTTTCGAATTTCAAGAGCTGGAAGGAACAATGGTTAGTACTGGACGGATAGACAATCACCCCAGACCAGAAAAGTGCCTCAGACAGCATGTGAGGTTGTAAATGAAAGATATTTGAATGCAGATCTCCTGAGTCCTAGTCCATCACTCTATTTACTACACCACACTGGCTCTTGATGCCATTTTTATAACTGAACAGAAGAAACTGGGTAGTCCCATGTCTAAACGGATGGAAAGGAGGCGACACAGCACTTAAAAAACCAAGGAAGTCTGTTATTTGAAGCATGTGAAAGCGGGCACATTGCAGCCTTACTAGTAAAGTGAAAAGGAGCCATAACCCTGAGAATTTTTCATTGTCAGAAATGAGCTGTTTATATAAAGAACACACACAGTAAGTATTTCCTGCTTAGTCAGTTTTAAACTTTAAAAGGGTTTTTAGAAGAAGGATTGTTTTAAGTAACGTGTCAGAGTATTATTAAATAATCATTTGACTGCAGAGAAAAGTATAAACCTTTGGAATTTAATACTTTTCATATCAGATTATTATTTTTTTTTAAAAGAGAAGGCTCTTTCATGCAAGGCTACTAAAATTGTCTTCCATTTC